AAAAAAAGGCACATAAACAAACAAAACTGACTTATGAAACAGACCAACAGATAAGACCCTGAAAAGTATGGATTTGTTGGTTGTTAATGATGTTGTCTCTTACTAGGAATTACAGGCAGTTCCAACAATCCAGAAGTGAGGTCTGTTCCTCTTTCTGACATTCAGGCAATGTATGGTTGGGGAATCCACATCAGTGACCCACTATCTTTGCTCTACAATTCTTTCTTGATGTTTTCCCTCATGGAAACATCAACCCCTACACCTACCTCTACAGAGCAACCACACTCATGAAAAATGAACAAGTCTAATAAAAACATACCTAATTGTCAGGACCAATCATTTGAAAGATCACTGGACACTCCAACAGATGACTAAGTATTTTTCGTGATAACACTGTCATGTATGGGCCTTCACAAATCCCTTTAGTTTAATTACTTTTAATTAATTAATTTAAAGCTAATTTTAATTAGCTTTAGTTAATTTCAACATTAAGGGGGAAAAAACCCACTTGATATTTGGATGATTTGGAATGCAGTTTCATCCTCCAAATTCATCTTTAGGAAAATAGCATGGTGTTCACTTGTCCAGAATAACAATTAGAAAATAATCTGTGAGAACTCATACAATCAAAGAACATTCTGATCTAGTTTCGAGTTTTTACAATGGTCATTAGAGAAGGGAAACAAATGTCCTCTTTATTACACTATTACCTCATCTCATTGTTGAAAACATGACACTGTGGAGAGTTATATTATATCATTTTCATAAAATATTAGTTGTTGAAGAGCTGGTTTCCAGCAGACATTTCACATGATTTTCCCCTTATCATTACAATCCAAAGTATTGCTCATCTGAACTTTCTTGGTGAATCATTGTTGCAGTAAGTCTTGTTTGCACAGTGCCCAGGAACTCATAACCTTCTGGGGGGCTTATTCACCTTCAGATGAATTTATTCCATTCCTGTGCTGATGAACAGTACTACAATATTATCCTCTGCCAGAGATTTTACTTTGAATTTGAACTGAAGAGCCTACAGATTTCTGGTAGCTTTCTTCTCTCCCTCCTGACATTGTAGTAGAGAAATTTCTGGTAAGGATTTGTAGAGGATTTCCCATCCTGGGTAGTAACCTTCATAAGCACAGCATGGGCACAAAATGCCCTGGGAGCAGAGGAGGGGCCCCCAAATGGGCCTGGAGTAGCAGAAGATAGTGCTTGCAAGGAGAAATATCTTGGGCTAGCTCCAGAAGGAATAAGATTCCTTTCTGAGCAAGGCCTAGGGTGGAGCAAGGAGGATGTACTAGGTAAGGAAGCAATTCCAGACTAGGGATTTTCAAGGAACATTGGGAAAATGAGAAGGAGGTTATCTGAGAACTGTGACCACACATATATAGCAAGCAGCCAAAGGACAAAGGAGGATCTATGCTCTATCAAGCAGTGTGGTGGTGGCCAAGAAGAGATTCTGAGCAAGGGAGTAGCACTGATGGATTTGTCTTTTGAAAAGAATATCTTGGCAACAGTGGGTGGAAAATGAATTAGAGGGAGAGGCAAGATGGAGATAGGGAGAGCAATTAGTGTGAGTAATATCAGAAGTAGAGTGTAAGGGGAAGTTGAAGAAAGGGAGGGGTAATGTCAACATCGCTGGCGGTGGCTGGATTTGTTGATGAAGGGTGTACAGGAGAAATGGAGTTAAGGCAAGGACAATAGCGATAATCTATTAATTTATGTTGAACATCTCCATCGGTCCCAGAAGAGCACTTCTAGAGGACAGAGGTCAATCTTAAAGAGATTAGATAATCATCAGTACATGGTAATTGAAATGTTTTTAAGTTTGTATCCCTGAAAGCCTTTGTTTCAAAGACTAGCATGATCTCTTTGACAAATGCCCTTCTTGAGGAAGTCTAAAATTAGCAATCATCTGAGTTAAGTCATTGGTGACATAGCTCTCTGGTAGTTAGTAATCTGTAAATTATTGATCATCCCTGCCGTACATTCAGAAGCATCCAGATCAAATTTGTTGTCTTCTTCGTATTTGATGCTGCAAGGGAGATTCAGTTGTGTAGAAACACTGGAAGTGAGGGAACTTGTCACTAAGTACAAGAAGTGGGGCTTAGGAGGTTGACAGTGAATTCAGGAGTAGACTTGATAACTGTTCAAGATTATACCAGAGAAGTTCAAATAGAAATGATTAAGAAATTGGTATAATTTGGGGATACAGGTGGATCCATTGCAACAATGAGATGTACATGTCGAAAACGAACTTTACAACATTGGAGGGGGGGATGGGAGGGCAGGGATGGGAGGGGGAAACAAAGGAGGAGGCAACAATGCTTGATAAGAAAGGTACTCATTACCTTGCTCATGTAATTGTAACCTCTCTGTACGGTATTTTCACAATTAAAAAAAACTTTATTAATAAAGAAAGAAAGAAAAGGAAATATACTCCAAGGATTGTGGCTGAGGAGAAAGCCTTGGGTTCATCCCCAGGCCTGTGGTCCTGGAGCAAGGCTGTGAATGAGGGTGGGAAGTACTGTGTATATAGCAGATCTTAAGATCTGCTTAGTATGGCAGATAACTCTCTTCAGGCTGCAAAAGGGCAGTTCCTCCAAGTTAAATCCTGTCTTGTGGAGTCTAACCTGTAATTTTCTTATTGTTTGTGCTATGATTTCATTATTTTAGCATACTGTGTACTTCCTTCATTTGTGTCTCTGAAAACGTGTGTTTTGTGGACTGTTAAATTCAGAGGCAGAGAAAGCAAGGCCAGGAACTGGAAGTGTTGGAGGAGGGAGAGAGGAAGAGAGAGTTCTATTACCTCCCTTCCTCCCTCCCTCCCTCCTTCCCTTCTCCTCTCTCTCTTTCTCTCTCTCTCTCTATCCTGCAGTTTAAACTCAGAGCCTTGGACTTGCTAGGCAAGTGCACTACTACTTGAACCATGCCTACAACCCTTTTGCTTTCATTATTTTTTAATAGTCTTGCTTTTACTAGGACCAATCTGAACTGTAACCCTTTTATTCATGCTTCCCATGTAGTTTTTTAATTGGTTGCCATGGTCTTGACTATTTAACCCAGGCTAGCCTCCATTCACAATCCTCCCTTTTTCAGGAAAACTCTCTCTCTCTCTCTCTCTCTCTCTCTCTCCCCATTCAGATTAGCATTAATTATCTGTACAAGATGCTTTTATTTTTTAACATGTCCATTTCTGCATATAGTACATCTTTCCTGTGTGTGTATGTTGGTTCTAGGGCTTGAACTCAAAGCCTGGGTGCCACCCCTGAACTTTTGTGCTCAAGGCTAGAGCTCTACCACTTGAGCCACAGCCTTACTTCTGGTTTCTTGGCATTTAGAAATAAGAGTCTCAGGGACATTTCCTTCCCTGGGCTGGCTTCTAACGGGGATCTCCAGAACCCAGCCTCCTGAGTAATTAGTACAGGCATGAATTACTGGAACCTGGCTGTATAAAACATCTTGAGGATCAAGATCTATCATTCTCCCTCACTCTTCCCAAGCTGGTCTCCAAATTTTTGTGTTCTATTTTTATACATGGACATAAAATGTTCTGACTATATGCCTCCTCTTTCTCCCTCTCTTCACCCTGTACTCCAAACAAGTTTCAACTTCCTAGTATTCTTTAATGTTAAATGAAGTACGTGTTTATTGTTAAAAGGGGCTTCACTATGGTGGACATGCATATACCATACTTAGATCGATCATGCACACATACCTATGATCCTTACCTATGTGCCCACATATAGGTTTGGATTTCGGATCTAACATCCACAGAGGAGAGAAAACATGTAACCTTTGTCCTTTGGAGCTTGGCTTCCTTCACTTAATACTATTCCATTGTGTTCATTGTGTTATGTGCCACATTTTCTTGATCCATTCAACAGTTGTAGGGCATCTGGACTATTTCCATAACTTGGCTTTTGTGAGTAGTGCTGCAGTGAACCTAAGGATGCAATTTCCTTGTGACATCCTGACTTGCATTCCTTCAGATTAGTATCCAAGAGTAATATTTCTGGGTCATATGGTATCTCTACTTTTAATGTGAAACCTGCTATACTGATTCCCACAGTGGTTGTACTAGTTCACCTTCCCATTAGAAGTATATTATGGTTCCTTTGTCTCCACATCCTCACCAACATTTGTTGATTTGTTCTTGAGGACAACTGTTCTGACTGAAGGGGGGGGTGTGTGTAGGTGTCATTTGGATTTGCATTTTCTTATGACTAGGGGATGTTGAGCATTTCTTTTAGTGAATGTTCAGGATGAGGAGGTTAACTATTTATACTTCTTTTTTTGGAGAAGTAAGACATCTCTTTTATGAGAACAATTTTATTAATGAGAGGAAAAATGAGTACAAGGTCATTATCATCAAGTTTACAGAGAACAGAGTGAACTCCAAGTCAGCTAATCATTTTGAGCAGCGTTGACATTTAGGGCCTTGAGTGCCTATAACTTGATGATACAAAAAAATAATCTCTTTTTTCAAGAGTAATTGGGACTGATTGCCTTCCCTTCCAAATTTACCAGATTTCCATTCATGGGAGGTCACAGTTTGTATAGATAAGGCCAAGGTTATCTTCAGGGTTGCGTAAACCTTTCTTTCTTCCAACCCATAACTCTGCAGTCAAAACTGTTTCTAGCATTTACTGCAACCCAAAAGGTCAAAGTATTTTCATGGATTACCTCTGCGAGAACATAACAGTCCTTGGACATGAAGAGTTGAAAACATATGAGCCATGCTAGCAGTCACTTCAGTGTGAAAACATTTCCTGAGGAAAAGCAAATGTTTTTCTCATGGAGTCCAGCATTGTCACTGCTAAGCTATTCTCATCGAACTATTTTATTAATACGTACAGTGTTTTCATAGTCCTTCCTGTTATCAGCATCGTCATCTCATACTAATCAAGATGTGTTGACTGCCTCTGTTTACCCATTAGTTCCTGGTGTGTGTCAACCGGTGTTTGTTTCGTGTCTGACATTCCATGTCTTTTTTGCAGATATTGATGAATGTGTAAACAACACTATATGTGACAGTCACGGGTTTTGTGACAATACAGCTGGCTCCTTCCGCTGCCTCTGTTATCAGGGCTTTCAAGCCCCACAGGATGGGCAAGGGTGTGTGGGTGAGTTTCTAGATTTTTCTCTTCCTCAACGTGTTTCACAGGTTCCTTTCAAAAGAAACCACACTGGTCAATAGCAGGAGAATTTAAAAGCTGGAGACTTGGGGAGAATTTCATCATACTCTGATTGGGTTACATAGTTAAAGATGAGGCTAATTTCATATCCCACGGCTTCTGAAATGGATAGGGACATTAAGAACTCTAGAAGCACAACCTTACATTGGAAAGGCTTTGTAATCAGACATCTGTTTAAACGTTCAGCTGATATGCAGAGCTCTGTTGTCCTCTTATGCAGGAAATAGAGTCTGCAGTGAGGTGCAGCTTCTCTGTGTATGAAATGTACCTCCTCACACTGTGCACTGAATTAGACCTGTTGGAGAACAATTGAGTTTCTAGAAATGACACCAGTAAACTTGAAGATTTGCGGGTGCAGCTATATTTCTTCAGTGTGCTCTGGGATTGGTGGGGCTGTAAAGAATCTTGAATGTCATCAGATGTCTTAGCATCAAGTCCAACATATGTTCATAAGGAAGCAAACTTGTGCTGCATTTTCTAATCAACAGTGATTACTTCAAATCACATGACACACACTTGCAAGTAGAGCAGTATTCATGGGAAAGAGAAGAAAGGTCACTAAATTGAAAACTTTAGAGGTCACAAGGTTTTTTTTTCTTAATACAAAAAAAGAACTATGCTTTCTATAAAGCAGATGGTTCTTGAGATGAAGTCAGTAACTTGTTGGTTTGAAAATTCACAATTAAAGCATTAGTTCATTTGCAAACAAAATCTATTTAGAAGTTTGCTATCACTTGAATCATCAACTGCTCTTTTGAGATCGATTATGAAATTTAATTCCTAATCCCAAATGTTATTCATTAAGACAGCCACATAGTTTAAAGCACAAGTATCAGCTAATCTAAAATGCAAATGAACTAATTCAAGAATTATTCACAAGAAGAATGATTCACGATTCATAATAGTGTCATGATTGTCCCAATATATAGGACCAACTCCCACCAAAATTCAGCTGATAAAATTACCTGACATTGGACTGTATTTCAGCTAAATGGGTCCTGATATGATCCTTATTTATCTTCTTACTTTCAATACTTCTTTCCTCATCTATTACCTTCCTGTGACATCTGGCTGCTTAGGATTGCTTCTATCGGGACAAATTGCTTGGCTGGCATTTTCTCCTTCTGGGAACATCTTCTCTGTGTCAGATCCACCCCGCTCACTCTTGAAGACTGAGTTTAGATGCTGTCTCTCAGACACTCCCTACTCTGTCCTATTGCTCTTCAGCTGGGCTGTGACCTTCCCCCTGCTTCCAGAACACCTTGAGCACATGCTCTTGTAGTACTTACAACCTTTGAGAGAATTATTTAATAACATGCATGTATTGCCCACAGCCCTCCTCTTCAAAGTCATAACTTCCACGATTTGAAAGTAGCCTTTTGTAGACAGAGTAAATTCCATTTCACTGTTGAAACATGAGTTGTGCTACTTGAGTCCCTGCTTCATGCTCATTGTTACCTACCTATGTCCACGTTAAGAGAAGCGACTCACGTTGGAATTTCACTCAGCACATGAAACACCATCCTTAGAGAAGGGATTGTGGGCTGCTGTTGTTTTGTGGACTCAACCAATGCTATTTTACTTGGATTTTTGTCATTCTCTCAAAAGAGATGAGCTGAGTAGACATCATATGTATTTCATACTCTGCATTGTGTGATGTTTCAGAGATGAGTTAGTCACTAGGCCAGTCTTTGGCCCTGCTACATCCTCCGCTTAGGCCTGCCCACCCAGCCCCTTACATCCTTCAGGGCCAGACTCTTAACTCACCATTGCATGGAAGGATGCCCGTTCCCAGCTTCCACAGAGCTCTGTGCCCTTCATCCTAAGCGCTTGCTGAAGGCTGTGTGGGAGATTTCCTTATTCTTACCCTGACTTAACTCTAAGCTCCATGAAGACAGAGGTTGGGCTTGCCTGTCCTCACATATAGTTTGTGCCATACAAGTAATCTAGAAATGCATGTAGTCTGGTGGGAGAAATTTTAATAGTCATGTAAATAATAGGAATTGGAAACAAGGAAGTTTCATGTGACATTTACCTAAAAGTGACAAATAAGAACTGGAAAATTTCCAAAGTCAACGTTTCTGGTCTAAATTATATCTGACCGTGTTGGTTAAATATCCTAATTCTACTTTATTGGATGTTACAACAAAACCATCTCCTTGGGTTTGTGTCTGTTTATATATATAATGAAATGGAAAGCTGGGATAATTATTCCAAGTAAGTCAATAATCCATGAATATTTTGTCCAATAAAATGGGAATCAAGGGTGAATGAGATGCATAATTGGTCATATTTTAAACTTTGTATAAACCATCTCAGAATATCCTCATGAAACCTGATGTTTATACATGTTTAATAGCTAAGATTCACAGACATTTAAAAGTAAAGTCAGGTCCTTGCTGGACAGGAAAGTTATTAATAAAAAAATTTAAAATAAAAGGTAAAAAGTACTGCTGAGTAAGGTCAACTGAACAATACACCTTTCTTCAGGGCTAGATACTGACCCCATGCTGAATAAATCATATTCATAAAACAGACTCTTTGACTGCATTTTAACAATATTTATTTAAACACAGAACAAAAATATTTAGCAACATAGAAATTACACTGTGGATACCAGCAGAGTTTGCAAAGAAGTAGTGAAATAAGTGATTAATTTCTGAAGCAGTTTAGTTCCCATGAATAATTACTATGCCCAGATAAATATTTATAACACCCCCTACGAAATTCTATTGTCAATTTATGGACATTTGAGCTGCTAGAAAACTGTTTTCTGACATGTGAGTAGCCTTTTAAAGATTTTTTTTAAATGAATTTAACGATTCTGTGATGACTGAAGTGCCTGCTTGGAATTCCTCCTTGAATTAAGAACTGAGAGTAGAATGTTGGGTCATTTTATGATTCTGATATCTTGAAGTCAAGGAAAGCAAAACGTAGTGGGTCAAAGGCTCCTGCTATGCTTCTAGCAAAATTCCAGGATGTCCTTAAAGCAAGGATTGGGATTTGGAACCCCTGCTTTCTGTGTTCTCTACCCTTTTGTATGGCCTACGCCTCTTCCCTCGAGGGGCAGGAGTTGATTGCTCACTGAGAAATACCTGGTAAAAACAAAGAGCTATCAGGAGCTGGACTTCTATCTCACTTGATCTGTGCTCCCTTTTCCAGATGTGAATGAATGTGAACTGCTCAGTGGTGTGTGTGGAGAAGCCTTCTGTGAGAACGTGGAAGGGTCCTTCCTATGTGTGTGTGCAGACGAAACCCAGGAGTACAGCCCCATGACCGGGCAGTGCCGCTCACGGGTGTCTGAGGGTGAGTACCAGGGGCACCGTGCATGCGATGGGTGGAGGGCTCTTCTCAGAATCTGGGCTGCCCAAGTGTGCCCTAGACACTCTGTAAGTATGGTAAGAGAGAGCCAAATATCATGCCCTATTTCTGCCTCTGGAAATATCTAGGTAGTTCCTCTCTGCCTGCTTTAGCCGTGGAATTAGGAAGCAGGTGATGACTGGGTTGGGCTAAATAGTCTCTAGTATGCTTTTGTAGCATGAGCACAAGGAGCAAACGAGGGAGAACATTCGCTAAGGATTGTCTAAAACTCAGAGCTCAATCAGCCAGGGTTCAATATGGCCTCGTTAAATTGCATAAATCCCGCTTTCTTGGCCCTTGGAGATGTGTATCTTGACACTTCTCAAAATGAAAAGCAGCATACGGGCCTCTCAGGGTCTACAAAGACTTCCACTTGGAATTCTTCAGGAGTGTTTCCAGAATTTTGGCCTAGGGAGTTCCCTGTTTGCCTTCATTGAAAACTCGACTGAGGCTGTGCGTCACTGCATACAGTGAAATGGATTTCCAGGCAAATTAATCAACTTCCAGCTTGCAGATGCAGCTCACGAACCCTTTTAGGTTTGTGCCATGTAGCACAAACTTGGTTGTATTTTTTTCCTAAGAAAAAGAAATGAAAGTGCCAAATAAAATAAAATAAAACATTTTACTATCTTCCTAAATCTTGATGTTACCCGCACATGTGCTATGACTTTTACTAGTACTCCATAAAGGACACTCACTACATGTGAGATACATTTTTTGCAAGTCACAGGGAATAAAATACAAAAGCATTTTTGTCTATTGTTCCCATCAGTTATGCAGTACAAAAGGAATTAAGTGAACAGAGTTCAGAAATGTTCTGTCTGGTGAGGAAGAAACGGGCTGTGGCTGAGGAAAGGTTGCTGTTCATTCAAGTGGTCAAGGCACTATGCTTGTGCTATAAAAAAAAGAATAACTGGGTCTGGGAAGGTGGCTCAGTGGTAGAGCGCTTGCCTTGCATGCCTGAGGCCCTGGGTTCGATTCCTCAGCACCACATAAGCAAAAAGAAAAAAGCC